GTTTCAAATATGTCCATCCTTCGGGTGGTGCGCATTGCACTCCTTGTGTATACAAATACCTGTCCCCTCCTCCCTCCTCCCCCCTCCCCCCTGCCCAACATCCAATAGATGTTATTCTTATATGTGCATTTATGTGGGAATTCTTATCAGTAGTGAAATATAGCTTTTGCTGCCAGTTCTGCAGCCTTCTTATTGTTGATTGCAGATGAAACTCAAATACAGTCCCCTTTTCACATCATTGGTGAGAGATACTCAGAATGTAGAACTCTTTATGCTCTCTAAAGAAAGACAGTGCTAGTGTGAATTGCTATGCCATTCTATTTTCAAGTAATCTACCTACCTATAAAATGGGGATAATCTTATATCATGTAGATATTTTTATGAATTATGGGTTAAGGATTTTAGAATTATATAATATTTTGAAATAGGATGAGATTATAGATAATCAAAGTACAAGAGGGTATTCCTGGGGTACTACTATTTCAGTTTTAAATAACTTAATGAATCCAAGGCTTTAAGGGACCTATCAGGTCCTTGTTTCTGTCATTCTGAATAGTAGACACAGTGAGACTTAGCTGCAACATATATTCCTTTCAGATACAATAAATTGCCCTGTGTTAGGGGCATGCCATAAATTTGCATGAGGAATCTTGCCATAAAGATTAGAATTCTTTCTTGGAAGCATCAATGGTAACAAAAAGTGCCTGAGTTTTCAACTCTTATTAGCATTTGGGGTATGAGTGATTTATTTTCCAGTTGTGAAATACTTTTGATAAAACTAAAAACAGAATCAGAAGTGTCAAGTGGTGATTTATATGTGTACGTGAAACAGACTTTGTGTTTTAGATTATTCAAATTTTGTAAGTTTAAAAAATATTCACTTTTTTAAATGACTGGTCATTTTACTTGTGCTATTCGTGGTGTTATAATGCCAACAATTATTCCTTGGAGCATTTTCCTTTTCTTCCTTTTCTTACCAGATGTTCCACATCAAAAAGCAGAGTGTCCTGAGTGTGGCAGCAGAAGGAGCTAATGTGTGTCGTCATGGGAAACTGTGTTGGCTTCAGGTAAAAGTTGTTTCTGTTTTTTGTTTTTTGACACAGGGTCTTGCTCTGTCACCCAGGCTGGAGTGCAGTGGCACTCCTGGGCTCAACTGATCCTGCTGCCTTAGCCTCCCAATTAGCCAGTACTGCAGGTACATACCACCATACCTGGCTAATTTTTAATTTTTTTTTAAAGATGGGATCTCACTGTGTTGCCCAGGCTGAACTCAAACTGTTGGCCTCAAGCAATCATCCCATCTTAGCCTCCCAAAGTACTGGGATTATAGGCGTGAGCCACTTTGCTGGCCTAGATTTTTGAAAACTTTTTATTTTTATTTACTTACTTATTTTGTTTTTTTGAGACAGAGTCTTACTCTGTTGCCTGGGCTAGAGTACCGTGGCATCAGCAGCGTAGCTCTCAGCAACCTCAAACTCCTGGGCTCAAGCAATCCTC